CTCGGATAGGGCAAATTACGCTTATAAAAATGTTCCATTTTTGGCGAACTCTCTGTGTTTTCGAAAATTGCAAAAACTTAACTTTGTAAAACTACGATATTGATGATAGAGATTTTTCCTTCATAAAATCTGTTTTAAAAAATAAATCTTTAAAGAAACAGTTTCTTTTAATGAGTAGTTTTCGCGTGATATTTGCTTGAAGTGAAAGCAATTTGTAATTTTTTCTCAAAAACTGTTTCATATTTTTCTTCTCATAGAGCAAAGAACGTAAGAAAATGGCGCATTATTTATGTTGAACTCTCTGAAATTTCGAAAATTACAACTGTTACAAATATTACGTGAAAGTATATTACAAATAGTACGTGCTGATTGTAGCATAATAAATATAATTTTCTTTTACTTTACCGCTGAACATTGAAAACTGTGGCCCGGCGTTCGCCTTCAGACGTTCTTCTCAGCAAGGCATAACGGTGCTGGCCTGCGAACGAGAGATTTTGCCGATAGGTTGCGTACATACGGTACTTCTGGAACTGTAAGAGCTGAGAGAGCGTATTAGGCTAAGGATTCACACTGAACTCTCAAATTCTTCGATGCAAGAGTAATGTAAGACCATGAGCTCTTAAAATAGGGCATCATCTCATTGCAATTAAGTTACAGTTACTAAATATTCGCATTAAAATATGTTAGCTCAATGTTTTATTGAGATTGGGTCTCATCGTGTAAAATATATCTCGCGTCCTGCAGAGGTCGTATTTTGGAGATCTGAAGTGAGTTTCTGGGACGATTTCCTGATCACCAGGTCGCGCACGAACTTCAACAGCGGGCAGCAACAAATTTGCTCAGGCATCAGGCGACGTCCCATTTGGCGGTTACTTTATTTGTATGAATGCTTCTCACTTACCGATGCTGATATCATTAAAATCAGAATCAGAATTTTCTTTTTCAAAATTTGACAATGTTAGTGATGGAATTCCGTACATTTGCTATTCCGTATTCAGTAGAAATTCATACAGTGCTCACGAATTCCCAATTAGAGTTAATTGTCCTTATATGTATTAATTACAATATGGATTTTATTGAGAATCAAGTTTCTATAGAAATTTCCCTCCGACACTCTTCCCACGTTTGGTCAATACTGCTAAAACCATTACATGTTTCGCCTCGCTTCCACATTTTCAAGAAACGGTTTTGTTCTCGGAAAAGTGTAAAATAAATCCACTGAAGTGGTATATGATTACAACTTGGAATGTTCTCTCTTCTGTACTCATTGTTCTTCCAAGTATAGATGAAATCATAATGAAAATAATTAACAGAATTTTCTGTATACCAATTCTAGCCATGACACGTATTACTAATTCCTCTACAATTTAATTACTGGCTTTCTCTGCGAATATGTTCACGCTATAATTTAACTATGCAATGCATCAATTAAATAATTTTGGAATAAAAATTAATTTGTGTCTCTTGTCATTCGCTTATCGAGCCACCAGCGACGTTTCCGCCTAGAACTACCACGTTTGCCCGCCGCAGCTGTGAATTCGAGTAGCAGTGCCCATCAAGGGCAGGAATACGACTGCCCGAGCTGACGAGACCATGTCCGCCTGTGGTACACGTTTCAAACATCTTACGAAAAAATCATTGAAACGGTCGTTTCAATATTTTTGTTCTAGATTAAGAATGTAACTGTACTCGTATAGTACTGTCAGTACAATGCACACAAAATTATTAGTATGGTAAAGGTTTGGCTCTCCTCTAACAGTTCTACAATTATGATATATTTGATACGATTACGAGTACAAAATGTATCCTTTACGGAACAATTTTATGAGGCGATATTGGCCCTGCATTTTCATGGAAACAAAATAACATAGAATAAACACATTCTTCACAAATTAAAAAAATAGAAAAAATGAAGGAGCGCTGTACAGTTCTACAAGAAAGATTTGGGAGAATCTGCTAAATTTAATTGTTGATTGTTTCCGTACATTTGTGTTGCATCACCGCTAAAGCACTTTTACTCTCGCCACAGCTGTCCCTTTCCCCCGCAAGAACTTTCGAAACAGTGCTATCCCTGACTGTTGCATAATGTAACATTCAAATTATGAATTGGTATGTGAATACTGTGCATAAAGGTTTTTATTTATTATTATTATTATTATTATTATTATTATTATTATTATTATTTTGTATTTATTAACGATACGAGACGGAATATGTACTTTTTGCCTGTAAATGATTGTATCATCTTTATCCCTTTTCAATTTAGCTCTAGCTATTGGGAAATATTTAATACGTGTGTAAGTACTATTACAGTTGAGTTCGTGTAACGTTTATCACTCATTACTGTCATATATGCTTGACGAATAGTAGTGTTACGACACGTAATGTGAACGAAGCGGGGTGTAGCGCGTCGCAACGCGGCTCGGCGGCCGGCACGACTCAACAGCGGTGTCGCTGGCTGGTTTCAGGAGTCCTGGCGAGCAGAGGAGGGGGGAATGAGTTTTGGTGACGTAGTCGTCCCGCTTTCTACTCGCCGCCGCCGCCGCCACTGTTTCCACCACCACCTCCACCGCCGCGGCTGCTTATCCAGGAAATAGAAGGTGCAGTGGGCAAGGTAGTTGTGCACTTGTGCACGGGTTGTTGGCGGGGAAGGTGGGGTGGCGCTCTTGCGTGCTGTTTTCGCGTGTGGATGAGTGTGTGTGGTATTTCGAGTGGTGAAGGATTAAGCACTTGATACTTCAACTACTATATCAAGGCAAGTCTTCGATTTTACGTGCGGAGCGTTTTATTGACTAGTGCAGCTGCAGTTGGAAGGGTTTTTTGTGCGAGTGTGTCTGTGAAATAACGACGATCTGTAGTGAACCGATAGAATTTGTTTCAGTACTTCGCCACTTCAAATTAGTTTTGTAGGCGTGTTCCACACCCAGAAAAGGAGGCATTTGACTCAGAGGGAGGCGTGGTATGGTTTTCTGTTGTTACTTCTTTTGATTGAAGAAAGCCGGTGAAAAAGTATAGTGGCTCACCCTGATTTTCCGAGGAAATGCATTTATTCGGTTTCAACGGTAGGGAAGGCCAAAGTTGTTAGTACCGGATTGGGAATTCCGGTTATAATGATGGGATTTCTCAACTTCAGTTGAAGTATTAAAAATGTCTTAAAATATTAAGTTAATGCTTAAGGTTGCTTAGATTTCTTGTAATTTCTATTTTTTCCCGATTTCAAATGTGATGTGCGTATCGTGTGCTGTTCTTGCCGTGACGTGCGAAGGCACGTAAGTTCATATATGCGTATGCGAAGGGGTGTGGGAAAGTGATACTAACCATTCACATCGATTCTGACGTTCCATGCAGATTTCATAATAGATCAGCTAATCTGCTGAAAAAGAAATGAAATGAGTTCCAATTTAGATGCACGCACCGTCAGTGTGAAGGCCTGAAGTATCATGTGTGACACAGTTCTGAAGAAATTCGATAATGAAGTGGTTCTTGAAAATTAGCACTACTGTAGTTGACATGAACAACTCGTGATTCACATGCATGTTTTTTTAAGTATTTCGCAGCAGAGATGTTGATAAGATTGATATGTACCCTCATTGATTACTTCAGACGTTATCTCTATACCTACTCGGAAAAGACGCGACACTAAAAGTTCTCGCAGCGATCTTGTTGCAGTTTAAGTAAGGGTTCTCGGGGCTACGATCTCGCGATTCCGACTCACCCTTATTCATGTCTCGGTTCGTACTATCGCTCATTCACGTAAGCACGTGTAGTGACGATTTGCCTGTAATCGAAAAACCTCGTGACGATCATTTCAGTAGGAGTGGCCGACAAGTGTGAAACTAACAGTTTTCGGTTCCGCGTTATGCTAATAAACAAACCTTTCTAGAAATCGAAAACGGTGATTGGGAGGTACGATTATAGGTTAAAATGTTTTAAAAAGGATATGTCTAATAATTTTGTCTTGTGTGATAGTGGTGTTCTATTAGCCTTGTTAGTGAAAGTTGGGGATGTCTGGATTATTCCAGCTACTGCAGAAGGTCATTACAGAAGTGAAGTGAAAATTGTGTGTTAAAATTAATCTTTTAAGAAGTGTGCTTTTAGTGATAATTTACTTTAATTCAATCTTTAATATGTGAATTAGTGTTGCTGGTATTCTATATTCTATATAATTCTTAATTTCTATTCGTACAGCACAATGGCACAACTAGTAAGGGATCTTATTCATGGTTATCGAGACATCATGGACAATCAGAGTGGTAAGAAAAAACATTATTTAAAAACTAGAGGAACCATTTATTTAAATCACGTCTAAATCTTTGTTTAACTTTTGTTCATTCAATTTCTGGTTCATTAATTTTTTATGAGATTGTATGTAATGAGATTTTATGTACTTGCATTTTGAAAAATCTTTCTTTTCATGTTAAGTTTTTTCCCTCCTTCTTTCATTTATTACCACTTGTTTCCATGACCTTGTATGCTGTTCTCTTGTCACTTTCCTTTTCTTTAACCTACTTTGTTTATGTATATCATGGCCTGCATTCATTTTTGCTTTTATTCCTCTGGTGTGATGTAGACAAGACTTAGACAATAAAAATTCTTTTTTCAGACCCAAGAGTCAATCATTGGTCTATGATGAGCAGCCCTTTTCCAACTCTCATGATTTGTTTATTTTATGCCTATTTTGCTAAAGTGCTTGGTCCTCGAATAATGGAGAATCGAAAGCCATTCCAGTTGAGGAATATTCTAGTAGTGTACAACTGTATACAAACAGTCTTTAGTGCCTGGATCTTTTATGAGGTTGGTTATTAATCTTGTTAAAACGTAACTTCAGATAATGCACGTGTACTTTATTGACCTGACCCTATGTTCGTTTTTTAAATGCTTTTTTGCAGTACCTGCAAAGTGGATGGTTTGGTCATTACAGTTTCCGTTGTCAGCCTGTTGACTATTCTGACAGCCCTATGGCTCTAAGAGTAAGTAATAAAAGTATTTTACCTTCCTTTAGTGTAATTTTGTATGTTTCTGGAAATTCACTTTTTTCCTGGGATGTTTCAGATGGCTCGAACATGCTGGTGGTATTATTTCTCGAAGTTCACAGAATTTTTTGATACAGTAAGTGCTTCAACAATATTTTGTAACAGTGGTTTTACAGAAAATATAACCACTAGAAAACTTGGTGGTGGGTGAATTGCAGACTATCTAATTATTTCTCACAATGTAGGAAAGCATGTGTTGGTGCAGGGTACATTTTCTTATAAAAATGTTATTATAGACTTTTGGAGTTATCTATACTTTATAAATCAATTTCTGATGCCATGACAAGGAGCCTTAGACTATGTGAAGTGCATTATGCAATCTAAATTGAAATCTATTGCTTCAAGTTTATTTGATATAATTGTGATGTTTAATTTGGAAGTGCAATTTTGAAGAATTTGCTAAGTTGTAATTGTCAGTTTAAAGGAAGAAAGCTTTGTTAATTTATGATTAATTCTTTGCCTGTTAATAGGAATGATTGAGTGACTAGAGTATGTAAATTATTTCAATGCATATGGAAGGCAATAAACATTTATTATGCAGCACAGGGACAATGTTCAGAGTAATGTGGCGTCCATGTATGTTTACCTTGGGAACATGGTGCCTGGTGTTTTATGACTGAACAGTCAAAAGAAATAGAGGAAAGTCAGGAAGGCTTATCAAAATTTTGATTCCTCGTATGCTAAACTGGTTAATTTTTGTGGTTGGACGATTTTCCTGTATTGAACTTCAATAACATTTAATGAGATGAACTAAAAAATTTATTTTCTGGTGTTCAGTTAAGAGCAGTGTTTCTTCTTGAAAAGTGTTTACACAAGAATATTATACTTAGTTTGTGATAATTAGTCTTCCAAAGCAACTAGTGTTATTTGCTAAATTGGTTAATGAATTTTATCTTCTATTAGCAATGCCCTATTCAATGTAATTCCTTTTGTTTGTAGATTTTCTTCATCTTGAGGAAGAAAAATAACCAAGTGTCGAATCTTCATGTGATACATCATGGTTGCATGCCAATGAGTGTTTGGATGGGAATGAAATTTGCTCCTGGTTAGTGCCACTTTCTATATAATTTCTTTGTTTTGAAAAGGTAAATCATGTTACAGTTGAAGTATTTCAAAATTCACTGGCTTTTTAAATTCACATGATGTAAAATACATTTTATACACTCACATAAATCTATATACATAGATGTACAGTAATTTAGTTTTTGCAATTCAAAGCATTTCAAAGAAGTTTTAATTGTGGCATGAAACCTACTAGTGGTGTTGTCTACATCCTTGTCTCTTTGTTATTTCATGTGCAATGTGTCTTAGAAAGTGTTACCGAGCAATCTAGTTTATCCAGAATGACTTGGTACTTGTGGGGTGGTGGAATTGTGATGTGAATTTTTAATTTCAGGTGGACACAGCACCTTTTTCGCACTGCTGAATACATTTGTTCATATTGTAATGTATTTTTATTATATGGTATCAGCAATGGGCCCGCAATTTCAAAAATATTTGTGGTGGAAAAAGTATCTGACATCTATGCAAATGGTATGTCAATAAAAATTGGATTTGGCTTCTTATAACTTATTGAAAGAATAATAAGTTAATTAAACCTTCATTTTATTTATAGGTGCAGTTTGTTCTCATTTTTGGCCATCAATTTCAACTGTTATTCACAGAGTGCAATTATCCCAAGGGATTTATGGTATGGATTGGTCTGCATGGAATATTATTCCTGTTTCTTTTCTCAGACTTCTATAAGACAAGTTATAGTGGAAGAAAGAAGAAGTCTCAGAGCAATGGAGCCTGCATGGTAAGTGGTATTTTGAGAAAGATGATTCACATTAACCTTTGACAGTAATTTATTAGGTTATTACTTGCTCCTTATATTGTATCGTTGTACTGAAGTTGTGGGCAGTCTCACAATTGATTATGTACTTAAATAAATATACAGTTGGCTTAAGATTTTTGTATATCTAGGTTTTAGATGTCACCCTGTTTATTTATTTATTTATTTTTTTTCAGCCTGTGGATGTTACAGACAGTCAAACAAGGAATAGTGAAAATAAACCAGACTATACAAATGAATACTCAGAAGCGTATTCTAACTGTTATTCAAATGGTGTTAATAAGGGTTACATGACAGCTGTTAAACCTGATATAATGCTGCAAACCAAGAAAGAAAAATAACAAAGGTCTTAACCTGTGTGTTGGAAGTGGGGAATGTAAAATATTGAACTTATATCCCCATGAAACAGCGTGAAAATTCTACAGAGAAGTCAGTGATCAGTGAAGGGAAGTGGTTAAAAATGAAGACAAAATACTGCCATTGTGAGAGAAGAAAAGTCATTTGTACTCAGGGTTTCAAATTGAAGTAAAAATTTAAGTCTCACATTTCAGCAAAAAATTTCCAAGCTGAAAAAATTTGCTGTATGAGTGCTGCTGTAATTTTTGGTGAGGTGGGCTTTCATGTTTGTTGCTTGTTTTTTCCTTCATGGCCCCTTTGTTACAAAAGTATCACCTGTTCATTTCTCATCGTTGTTTCAAGTTTGCCAAAACAGTTTTAACTAGACATTAGTGCTTCTTAAAAAAATCATTTTAAGACTTCATTGTACAGTTACTGTGAATTGTGACTTGATGAAGTGAAGATGTCACTGGGCATGGAGGAAAGCAACTTTGATGTGTGTGAATTGTTGATTGCTTTATGCATTTTTAGAAGTGGACCTATTGCTATTTG